TGCCTCCCCGGGCGGATGGCCCACCAAGCATGCGTCCTGCCTTTGTAACTGGGGGTTTCTGTCACAGTGTACAGTCTCTTGGTGAATTGATGTTCTTGCCTTATTTTCTTAAGAAACGTTAATTTTGTGTATAGGGAATGCATTTTGCATGTTTTAAATTGTAAATGGAACTAAATCCGAGGAAAATTGAACTCGAGGCAATCTTGCAACAATCTTAATTGCTTAATCTCCGCATCCTTGAAGTTAACCTGACAAGTGTGCCGTAACTGGTTTTCCACAAGTTTTTTAGGCGTTAATTGCTGCTTGTCAGAGGGCTGGTTTGGGTTTAAGCATATGTTCACGGGGCTTTCTTTACTGGTATCTGGCCGAGTGTTCTCATAATCAGATACCTTTAATATCTGTGGAAAGGGTTAGGGTTTGGGCCGTTTGTCAGTATGTCAAGATGGGTTTTTTTCCTCGTACAGAGCACTGAATAGTCAGATATTAAATTGAGCTGGTAGGTTAATGGGGTTTATGTAAGTTATACGGTCTTAATTAGGTACTTGTAAATAGCACTCAGTAGCCCTTCTACCTATATTACTCCAAGAGTTAAGACAGCAGAAGGATTTAGAAAGAACATTTTTTTATAGTCAGTTAATTTACCGTGTACAATTGCTGTAAATGATAATGTGTACAGATTTTCTGTTCAAATATTCAATTGTAAACTTCTTGTTAAGACTATTATGTTTCTGTTGCTTTTGTATGGAATGACATTGCAAAAATAAAAAGGACCTTCTTTAACTGACTTACTACCTTGCCAGATAGGCTGCCTGCTGTGGTGATTCCTGCCCTTGGCTTGTGCCCAGGGAGGGTGGCACGCAGTGGTGGGAGCGTTGTGCCCGGGCTTGTGGCCCCGCCCCGCCCGGCGAGGAGCCCTACATTGTGATAGGTTTGCAGCTCTGGCCTGGGGTCTTGGTTGGGCTGGAGCCGGGTCCAGACCTGTGTCAGCGGTGGGCCCGGTGTGTGCTCTCCTGGTTAAAGGGAGTGTGTGCCCACAGACTTATAGGAAGCCAGGGGCCTCGGCTTGCTGCTTGGTTGGCAGCTGGGGTGACAGGGCCTTTCCCTGTGTCCTGAGACAGACCAGGGCCGACGGCCCGCCTGAGGGGCTGCCCCACCCACAGCAGCGCGCATAGCCCCTGGCAGCTTGTGCCCTGTGGACACCCCCTTGAAGTGATGCTGAGCTCCCTTTAAGCAAGGGGTGGGCATCGGTCACTTTGTTCAAGGTGCTTTGAAAGGCCAGAAGCCCCTTCCTGTTGGTTTCACACATGTGTTGAGCTCGTAGTATGTCAGGCAGCCTCGTGGATGTTGGGACACAGGAGACAGGGTGCCCCGAAGTCTGCACTCATGCTCTTGGGGACAGAAGATAGCAAATATGGTGTCAGGTTACAGGGTAGGAGGGCAGCGAAGCAGGGCAGGGGGCGGCTGGGAGATGCCCTGTTAGGTGGTGTGTGAGCAGAGATGTGCTGCCGGGGTGGGGCGGGGGCATTCACCCCAGAGGGCAGCAAGTGCAAAGGCCCTGGGGTAGGAATATGGTGTATGGAACCCCAGCAGTGCTCAGACATGGGAGAGGCTTGGCAGCTGGTGTGGGCTGGAGTCTGCTTGAGAAAGACAAGAGCTGTGAGGGGGGGCAGGGGACGCCTCAGGGCCTGGAGGAGGCTGCCCAGGACGGGTGAGAACACTGGGAACCGAAGCAAAGTGGACCCCTGCTGCGTAGTGACCGCTGGCAGCCCTGTTGCGCACAGGGTGGTGGAAAACACTGACCTATGGCCTGGATGGGCCGGTAGGGTTTCTAGGCAGACCCTCGGAGCTGCCTCTGACTTCCCACGGCTCATTCCGAGAGGCAAGAACACAGAGGGAAGGGCTGTTTAATTGCGGGGATGGGGGGAGCCCTTTGTGGTCTTAGTTATGTCCACCTTCCTGGGTGGCAAACAAGGTGAACATGAAGAAACGGCTTCAGAGCAAAGATCAAACCCAGAGGATGCCGGGGGAGACGGGTCTGCAGTGAAGCTGAGGCCGTGGCTGTCAAATGCTTGGTTAGGACCTCGGAAGTTCGAGAGCCTTTGTATCAGACAACAGCACGTCTAAGAAGCTTATGTCCCCCAGTAGCCCAAGGCAGAGAAGGGCTTATTTTTTTATTTTATTTTATTTTTTAAGTACGTGGGCCTCTCACTGTTGTGGCCTCTCCTGTTGCGGAGCACAGGCTCCGGATGCGCAGGCCCAGCGGCCATGGCTCACGGGCCCAGCCGCTCTGCGGCATGTGGGATCTTCCCGGACCGGGGCAGGAACCCGTGTCCCCTGCATCGGCAGAGAAGGGCTTATTTTGAGGAGACCTGTGCGTGTGGCTCTTGTCTAATGAATCGAACCGCAGTAAGAGTCACAGGAGACTCAAAAAGCTTTTGAAAGAATCGTATTGGCAGAAACACTGCCAGCTTGGACTGAAATGGACGGGCAGTATAGAATGAAAAGAGGCCTTTGGAGCCTCAAGATTCTAGTGTCAGGAAGCAGGTTGAAGAAACTACACAGCTGCGAACACAGGCTGCGTTTCATGGAAAAGGGAGCGTGATTCACAGGTGGATCCCAGAGGTGTAGAGAGTCACCGATGCAGCAGGACTGAGACCTGACCAGCCCTCCCCCCATACCCCCTGCCCCTACAGGAGCGGCCGAAGCAGTTACCCCAGGCTTGGCCCATCGTATGTTGGTGTGTGTGTGGCGGGTCCTGGGGACAGAGTGCACGTAAGTCGTCTCTCTCCAGACTGAGAGGACCTTCACCCCAGCAGCTGTGTTTGGGGGACTCCTCCATCAGAGCCTATTCCTGTGACGGGATCGGGACGTCGGGCTGGTGCTGATGCAGAATGAGACTTGGGGGCCTTGGGAAGGCCGTAGATCATTTGTGGCCAGAGCGTGGCCTGCAGTGGCCCTAAGTAGTGGGCAAGGAGGCTAGGCTGGCTGGAGCAGGGAGTGACGGGTGCAGTCTGGGGTGGGCAGCCAGGGGCTCTTGAGCAGGGGCCATGATATCTGACTCAGGTTCTAGAAGAATCACCCCGGCTACTGGCTTCTGCTTCACACCTACATTCTTGCAATGCTCTTAAGCACCAAGGAAATCGGTCTTCAGACTTGAGTTCTTGCTCTTCAGTGCTGTTAGTGTAAGCTGGTTCTTCCGTGTGAGTGTAACAAGGAGCCCATGGGCTGGGACTGAGGGGTCTTCATTCTTGACTCTCGTATGTTGAACCCAGAGGTGTCAGAACTCCATTACGTTTGTCCAGCATGATTAATTCTGCACGGTGCCAGGCTGGTCGCGATCTCGTTCCCAGTGGAGGTTCATTTTCCTGTCTCCTGAGTGCAGACGTGGGCAGCTTATCAGGGCTGTCATCCTCCATCCCCAACTCGCTTCCTTGCTGTGCCGTGACGTCGTCCTCTCCTGCCGGCCCGCCGGGATCCTGACATCAGGTTGCTGGTCCCTCGGCCTCTGAGAGGAAGATGGTGACAGGTCCTCCCAGGTGAGTCAGCAGCCCACCTGAAGCAAAAGGCTGCTCTTCCACCCGTGTGGGTGGCTCTTCTAGTTAACGGAGGGGTTACAGGAGCGTGGTTGCCCGTGTAGGCAAACTCGAAAAGCCGCTCAGGTAGAGTCATGTGACGCTACTTGACAAACCGGAAGTACCTTGCAGTTAATGTGTCTTCTTGGAACCTGGGTCGGGGGAGGGGGGACGTGTGCCTTTTCGATCGTCAGTCTGTATGTATATTTTACGTTTAAGCATCTTGAGGGGGGGACCTCCCTGGCGGTCCAGTGGTTAAGACTCAGCGCTTCCACTGCAGGGGGCTCGGGTTCGATCCCTGATTGGAGAACGAAGATCCTGCACGCCACGCAGCGCGACCAAAAAACAAAACAAAACAAAAGAGTCTTGAGGGTTTTTTATTTTGGAGTTTTGTTGCTCTGTCGTCATTGTTCGCTTTGTAACGTGCAGGCTTTAATGGGATCAAAGCCACTTTGTAAAACTCACATTTCGAAGATGCACATGAAGTTTTCCGGAAAAATGTTCCCTCAGTGTAGGGTGGAAGAAACAAAGCCTCTCGCTGGCACTGAGGCTCCGTGACTGACCTTCCAGAAGCCACCGACTCTGTACAGTGTAGCCAGAGCCTGTCGCCTGGCACATCACAGGCGCATTCAACGTGTGGCACGTGGGATGCGGCCCTGCCCTGCGGTGCCAGCTCTGCCTCTTCCGGCTGTGTGACGGGGCCTTCATGTCCCCGTGGATGAGACCTGGGTAGTGACAGCTACCTCCTAGGCTGGCTCTGAGGATTAGAGGAGAGAATGAATGCTGCGAGCCAATGATGCTGGGCGACGGCAGCAGTCGAGGTTGCCGAAGGCCCCATTTAAGGTGCCGACAAAACCCACGTGTCCGTTAACTCCCTCACTGACGGGAGGGCAGGGGTGGGCCTCAGGCACTGAGGAAGTGGGCGCCCACTGCACACGGGCATCGAAGCTGCTTCCCGGAGGCCTAGAGATGGTCAGCCTGCCCAGGGAGGGGCCCTGGAGCCAGTCCAGTGCTTGCCGCTCCCCTGCGTGAATGCCAAGCCATGCGAGGGGCACGTGGCGTGTGCGATCTTGAGGGGCTTTCCAGGTGTGGTGGCCATCGGTGCACTTGCTGTGCTCCTTAGGAAGAAGGCAGAGGAAGCCCCTTCCCTTCCCTGGGCGGGAGTGCCAAGTGGGGCCTTGCCACCGATGCGGGCAGGTGGCGCGAGCCATGTTGGTTACCTGCTGCTGTGGAACAGGTCACCCCAAACTTGTGGCTTACAAGACGGTACTTACCCCCAGCTTCTGTGGCTTGGTCGGGTCCTTGCATTCGAGGGGCTGCAGTCAAGGCGTCGGCTGGGGGGGGCTTCCCTGGTGGTCCGGTGGTTAAGTCTCCACGCGCCCAGTGCAGGGGGCCCGGCTTCGATCCCTGGTCAGGGGACTAGATCCCACCTGCCACAACTAAAGATCCCACGTGCCACATAGAAGACCCGGCGCAGCCAAATAAATAAATAAAATATTAAAAAAAAGAGGGCATCGGCTGGGGCTGGGTGTCATCTGAAGGCTCGACCTGGGAGGAGCCATGTCCACTGCTGTCGTCAGCGTGTGCCCCATGGGCCAGAGGTCGCCCTCACTCCTTGCCAGGTAGGCTTGCTTCACCAGAGCAGATGAGAGTACCAGCAGACACAGCATGGTGGGGGTCCCGTCTTGGGCTATGGTGCCAGCCCACCCTCAAGCACAGGGGCCATTGGAGCCACCTGGGGACATGCCGTGAGAGGCCCTGCTGGGCAGCTGGACGTCTGCCGGCACCTCAGTCTCCCGTTACATGAAAGTTAACTTAAAACGGACCGCAGACTTAAGTGTAAAGTGCAAAAGTATAAAACTTGTAGAAAACTGGGCTCTAGGGCGAGGCAGTGCTTAGACTGGACACCAGAAGCATGCGCCGCAAAAAGGAAAATGGTTAAACAAGACCTCATCACAATCAAAGACTTGCTCTGGGCAAGGCCCTGCTGAGAGGGCGGAAGGACAGGCGGTGGGCTCGGGGGACGTATCTGACAGGGGTTCGCCTGGGATAAAGGAGAACTCCCCAAAGTCACAGTGGAAAGCAGTCCAGCTAGAGGAGGAGCAGGGGGCGTGAGGAGGGAGGCAGGTCACGGAGAGGACACAGGGGCAGAGGATGTGTGAGAAGGTGTCCAGCGAGACTGCTCGTTAGGGAAACGTGGCTGAGAACCAGCCATCAGTGCTGACGTCAGCGAGGGGACACAGCGAGGGCTGGTGAACACCGGGTGGGGAGGTGGCGCAGCCCCTCTGGAAGGTACTCGGACAGTTACCACCCGAGCCGGTAACTGCTCCTGGGCATTTATCCCAGAACTGAAAACGCATGTTCACTAGAAACCTGGGTGTGAATGTTCCTAACGGTCGAGTGTGTAACAGCCCCAGACGAGAACCATCCACATGTCCTTCTACAGGCAGTGGCCAAGCAAACCCCGGGCCACCCCCAGTGTGGACGGGCGCTCACTGGTTCTGACAGTGCACTGGAGTTTTGCAAGACTTTATCCTGGGGGAGATGATCGTTCGTGACAATTTTCCTGGAATACAAAAGAGGCAAAATTACGTGTTGAAAGGGCACACCATGTTCCTGGATATATTGGCTCAGAATGACCAACACAGACACATTCTAGAAAAGTTACTGGACTTTAAAGAGAAAAGAAAAAAAAATCCTTTGGGCATCTTGAAAAAAGCACATTACTTATATAGGAAAGAATATTAGACTATCATACTTTTTTATTTTTTTATATTTTTTGTTTTTACTTTTTTAAAAAAATTCTATTTTTTGATTTTAGACTATCATACTTTTTGACAACAATACTTTATTCCAGAAGACAATGGAGTAACATGTTTCAGATATTTGAAGAAAGAAAGTGTACACCAAGGATTTTATATCCAAAAAACTCACTTGCAAGTACAAAGGGCACAGAAAAGTTGTCATCCATGTGGGAGAAGTCAGAATTCAGAGATCTTGTTCCTGTGAGCCCTTCCCGAGAATCTATGGGAAAATGATCTTCTGCAGCTGATGTGATCAGACGCGTCAGCGTGGGCACCAAGGACAGTGTCACACGTACAGCTACTTCGGGGCCCGGGCCGGCAAGGCTGCGATGGGAGAGTGGGGCGTGCAGCAGCCTGAAGGAGGGTAGGGAGAGAGGGCAGAGGTGCAAAAACACTTCATGTTTTTAGCGATCATATTGTTGGGAAAACTGAATGAGTAATTGTGGGATGGATCTTCCAGACGGCGCGTCTCCTGTGTGGTCCTCTGTGCTGAAGAAGAATGCACACGTCGAAAGTAGAGATCTTCCGGAACAGCTCTGGGTCTTGGGCTGCACGGGGAGCCCCGAGGGCACCATCGCACCTGTAACAGCCATGCCCGTAAGGACCCGGCGTTCTTTGTCGGGTGAGGGTAAATCCTCGGTGGCCCCAGCACCCAATACTCCACATCACAAAGGCACGGACTGTTAGGACAAGCAGCCCCGAGCACGTCTCCAGAGGGTCAGGCTGAGCAGAAACAGTTAACCTAAAAGGCTGTGTTCTATGTGCTTCCTCCTGTGTAACGTCGGGGGAGAGACAGTTACAGAAATGGAGCAGATCAGTGGTTGCCAGAGATCCTATGTATGTATTGTGTATCTATACGTCACCTATATTAACCGATATCTATATCATCCTTATCTCCCTCTAGCTCTGTGCTGAAGGTCTAGAAACAGTGAGCAACCTGGCAGTGCCCATCCCTTGCCCCCATGTCGTGGTTTTTTTTTTTTTTTTTTGTGGTACGCGGCCCTCTCACTGTTGTGGCCTCTCCCGTTGCGGAGCACAGGCTCCGGACGCGCAGGCTCAGCGGCCGTGGCTCACGGGCCCAGCCGCTCCGTGGCATGTGGGATCCTCCCGGACCGGGGCACGAACCCGTGTCCCCTGCATTGGCAGGCGGACTCTCAACCACTGCGCCACCAGGGAAGCCCCACATCGTCGTCTTGAAATAGCATTTCTCACGATGAGGGCCTCTTGGAGAAGTGGCCTGTCCGAGGCATGGGGCAGGAGTGTCCACCGTGAGCCTGGGCACGGCATCAGGCCGGGGGCCCTGCGTTTAGGTCCAGTAGCGTCATGTCCAAAGCAGCTGGCAGTGGCCTGGAGAGACCCCCTCACTGGCCAAGACTGTGACAACCTGATCTTCAATGGGGATAAGAAACGCCATGGATTAAAACCCATCAAAATGTTTAAGTTCACGAGTTCAGAATGGTACCTTGGAAAAAGAGAAACGGGCCACTTCTGGAGGCTGGTGGGAGCCACCTCACTCGTGAGAGCCGGTGGCGGGAGGGGATGATCCCAGCGTCTCTCCGGCGGCCACCGGACCAAGCTGCACCCTGCAGGGCCCACACTGGACGGTGTCTGCACGAGGACTCCGAAGATCAGTGACAGAGAAGGCAGTGGAGTGTCTCCCCTGGGACGGCCACTCAGACTTCCAAGTGACACAGCCAGGCATTTGAGCTGCCCCAGCCTTGCCCAGCACCACCTGTAGTTTGGTCAAAGTTACCGAAGCTGAGTCTGACTGAGGCTCTGGGACTGACTGCCGGTCGGCAGGAAACCCAGAGGAAGGAGCCAGCGCTGGGCTTTGCCCACAGGCCGCAGCAACCACATGCAGACCGTGGACCACTCCAGGGATAGCACGGTGGTCCCGGCTCTGCAACTGGGTGGAAAGGAAGAGAAAGGGATGGAGGATCTGGGATCAGAGATGCCAAAGGGACTCCAAGTAGGGAAACGGGCAGGACTGAGCTCCCGTGGGGTCTGGGCGCTGCCCCCAGGGTCCGTCAGCTGCTTCTAAAGTCCAGGAAAGGAGCGTTTCTGGTCCGGCTGGGGGAGGGTGTGCCTCTGGCCCTGACGAGCCCCCTGGGGAGGCTGCCTACGTCCCAATTTCTCTCTTTTTTAAGCAGCATTGTTGAGAACGGTTCACATACTGTGCAATTCACAAAGTGCACAATTCAGTGGCTTTTAGGGCCACTGAGTTGCGTGTTCCTCACCACAGTCAACGTTTCACATCCACAAAGAACCCTGCACGCCTCCGCTGTTCCCCGGCCCCCAGCCCTAGACAGCCAGTAACCCCCTTTCTGGTCTCTGTATGTCTGTCTCACCTCGTGATATTCCTCGAAGCCCACCCCTGACTTGGGGCTGGGCTGTCCCACCGCCGCCCCCAGCGCCCAGCCGTGGCCCGTGGTCTCTGCTTGGACCTCCTCAGAGCCCCCGTGCTGGCCTCCTGCCGCCCTGGCCCGATGACCGGCTCCACCCTGACCATCAGCTGCTCCCCTGGGGCTTCCCGACGGCCCAGCCAGGGGGGCAGGTCCCCCGCCCCACAGGGACACTCAGCCACCCCACGCGGCCTCCTCGCAGTGGCTGCTGGCTTGCCCTTCTCCCGACGCGAAGCCCAGAGCACCTCGGGGCCTGGGCACCGGCAGACCCCTCTGGAAGGAGGGAGGCCCCAGGGCCGCCAGGCGGCTCAAGGTGCATGAGCGGCACCCCGGAGTTGGGCTGCCTGACTTGCTGAGCCCCTCAGTCCAGACTACCCCGGTGGCTGTCAAGGCTGGTGCTGGGCCGGAGGAGGACCTGGACCCCAGCTCTGAGTGGCCGGTTTCCAGACCCATCTCTGGCACAAATGTCACAACCTCCCTGGGTCTCGGTTTTCTTATCTGAGAAGTGGGAGCTGAGCCTGAAGGGAAGGACTGGACCCAGGACTCTCTGGAAACAGGATGGCCGCACCCAGAGGCGGACACTGGTGGACGGCAGGCCAGGGCAGCCCAGGGTAGGCTCTCGCTACTGGAGGTTAGCCCCTGGGTCAAAAGAGGGGTTCCACTCCTGCCCTCCCATCAGAAAGCCATCCAGGCCCCTGGGGACCCCGAGAGGCTTGTCTGAAAGGCTCTCTCCTCAGCCCAGTCTGAGTGCTGGGCGTCAGCGAAGGGCACCCTGGGCCAGGAAGGCCAGGGAGGGATGGGGCGGGGCCCTGGGTGGAGGGTGGAAATGTCCCCTCAGGCTTTGGGGCCGAGAGGGGCCTCCTGGAGACTCTCCTTCCAGGGCTCACCTCCTGACTTTTGCCTGCTCCTCCTCTCACTTCCACTGGGCTTTAAACCCCCAAGGGACATCCCCTCCTCCAGGCCCTTCCTAGCCCAGATTAGGAGCTCTCCCACCAGCCCACCCGCCCTTGTATTCCTTAGCTCGCTCCACAGTGCATCGCGGCTGGGCGCCGGTTACTACCTTTTGTGCGTGGGTGTCTCCGGCCGGTGGCAGGTCCCGGGCCTCATGGCCCCTACGTAGGGCACAGCGTAGAGTGAGCATCTGCCCTCGTCCGCCCGTGTGCCCAGTGCCCAGCCCTGTGGCTCCTGGTGAAAGCATGAAAGCGCTGCTGGCTTTAAGGCAGCTCCGGCTCCGCCTCCTGGAGGGTGCCCCCGCACCTCCCACCCCCAGCAGAGGTCAAGAGCCGCTGTGCAAGCGGTGTGCCCCTTCTGCTGCTCTGGCCGCTCTGGGAGGGGTCATGGGCTGGGGGGGGGGGCTCGTCCTCACTCCTAACAAGGCTCCGGCAGAGGGAGGATGAGCACCGGGGTGGGACGAGTCCCTTTCCTCTGCGCCTCAGCCTCCTGATCTGAAAAGGTCGGTTCTAGCACCTTCCCTCCCTCGGGCTAATCCATGCAGGGCCTGACAAAGGGCGCTAGTGTGGGCCAAGCCCTCCTGATGGGACAGCCACAGCGGCAGGAGCCAGCAAGAGCTGGCAAGGACCTCTGGTCTGTAACTCCATCCCCACAACTTTGTCCCCGGTTGCAGGAGGGTTCTGAGATGCTTTTCAGTTTTATGTGAAATCATTAAATCCAATGAGAGACATTAATGGGGCACAGACTACCTCTCTTGATCCACTGGAAACCTTCAGTAAATATGCAGATAAGGGCTGAGCGGCAGGGGGATATAACTTAATCAGTCCGGAGGCTTCTGACAAACACAAAGGTGACCTTGGTGACTTGAGGTGGTCATCACGGGTCCAGATGGGCTACAGCAGAAGACCCAGCTCCCCTCCCCCCCCCCCCAGGTGCCCCCAGGTGTCTGTGTCCTGCTCCGTCCTGGATCACAGAGCCACTTGTCCTTGGGGAACCTGGCCAGCATCACTTGACTCTTGGAGGGGATTAAAGGATGGCGGTGTGGATGCCCGTGGAAGCGGCCTGGGCGCCCACATTGCCGTGCCCCCCGCCCCCGTCTATCGCTGGCCCTGCTCCCTGCACCAGCTATGCGGGGACTCCAGTTCTTCCAGGTGGCTGCAGGGGGACTCTTCCCTGCCAGTCCTGGTGACAGGTGGCTTGGCTCGGCTCTAAAACCTGTATAGGACAGGCCTCACCAGGCCCAGAAACTGCATGGAGGCCCTGGCCTGGCGCTTGGGCCACATCCCTGATGTCTCCCCCAACACCCAACCCCAGGAATGCCCAGGAGGCTTACATTCTCACCTCCTTCGGGTTTCTTCCCAATGCCACTCACTTTTCCACCTAAAAGAGCCACCACCCCATCCCTGTCATGCATTTGTCTGGCCTCAGGGCCCACTGCAGGGCCTGGTCAGCGTGGAGCCCCCTCGTCAATGCCCCTGCCCCCAGGCCAAGAGTGAGCACACAGGTGGCAGGTGGCTCTTTCCCATCTGACCCCTTCTCACCACCTGCACAAAGCTCAGCGCCTGGAGACTCAAGTGGGGGAACTGTGGACCACAGGGTCCCTAAGGTCTCTCCCAGCCCCAGTGACCCCTCCCACGGGTGAGGAGCGTTTGCCTGCCCTTACCCGTTTAATGAACCATCTCGTCTGAAACAAGCCCACGCAGACGCCCGGCCTCAGAGCTGCCCCCTGAGCTGGGCCGGCAGGGCGGGTCTGATGCGGGGGCCAGTGGGCCTGGGTCAGGACCCCAGCCGGCCCCCAGAATGGAAGGCTGGACGGCGAGGCAGGGCCCCTTCCAAGGGCCAGTACCCTGACCGCCAGCCTCACCTCCTGGAGACACCCCAGAGGTCCGGTCTCAGCCGCCACTGTGCTCGGACGAAGGCCCACCCTTCTCTCCTGCCAGGAGCGCTAACCACGGCCTCTGAGCCCCTGCCGCCCTGCCGGTCGCACAGGGCGGAGTCGCCGGGAGACCGGAGAAGGCAAGAGACTTGCTCGAGGTCACACAGCGGGTCATAGGCAGGGTGCGGTGGGCGGCGAGGCCGAACCAGGGCTCCGGGCCGTACGGTGTGGGGAGTGGGGACCCCGAACGGCCGGGCCGCCGGCGGGGCCGAGCCCTTCGCGCCGGGCAGGCCACTCGCCCCTGCGCCGAGCGTGCCCTCCCGCTGCCTTATGTCGCCGTCGCCGCCCGCCTTCGCCTTCCTGGACACTGGCTCACGCCCACCCCCCGCAGGCGCGCAGGTACGTGTGTGGGTGTAGCCCCGACCCCGGGGCCAGCACGGCGCACGCGCCGTTCGCCCGCCCGCTGCGGAAACAAGCCCCGGCATGCGCAGGCCCTGCCCCCTCAGCTGAAACCCCGCCCCACAAGGCACGCCCCTTCCGCCGTAAGTCCCCGCCCACCCGCCGACCGAGGCACCGCCCCCACGACATAGGCCCCGCCTCTCATGCGCTCGGAGCGGCGCGGCTGTGGGAAGGCGAGTGCCGGCCAGCTGATGGGCGGGGCGGCGGCGCGGGGCGGTGCCTGTGTCGTGGGGGCGGGGCGCCGGCCGCGGTCCTGTTGCCTCTGAGGCGCGACGTCCTTTGAGGGAGGAGCGCGGCCTCAGGGCCGGCGCCTCCCTCGTTCAGCCCGCCCGGCCGAGCTCAGGTGCAGGGCCCGGCGTGGCCCGCGAGAACCCGGGGCGTGCGTGCGCGCACCCGGGGCCGTGCGTGCGCCCGCCCGCGCGGAGCCGCGCGTGAACTTGGGCCAGAGGGTGCCCGCTCCTGTCAGCGCGCTCAGCCCGGCCCGCGCGGCCCGATGCTTTTCCACTCGCGTCGGTGCCGAGCGTTTTCGCCGCTGCACACGGAGAGTGCGGCGGGCGGGTCGCTGAGGGCGCGGGGACCCGGGGGCTCGCGACCTGGGGTTGGGACTCCTGCCGCGCGCACCACCCCCGGACCGGCCCGGGCCCCGGGCCCTCCACTCCCCGGTCCCCCTGCACCCCAAGACCCTGCGCACCTCGGGGCCCCCTGCGCGCCCCAAGAGCCCCGGGCCCCGGGCCCCCTGCGCCCCGAGAGCTCCGCGCACCCCGGGACCCCCGCGCTCCCCGAGAATCCCTGGCCTTGGGACTCCTGCGACCCGGAATCCCTGCTCCCCAAGAGCCCCGCGCCCCGGGACCCCCGCGCGCCCCGAGAGCCTGCGCACCCGGGGCCCCGTACACTCTACGCGCCCTTTGGCTGTAAGGGGCCCTGCCTGGGGCGCGCTGCCACTTGCTGAACCGACTTTGGGTGTCGCCTTTGCGAGCTGTCGTCGTTCCGGTACCGAGACGCGCGGCCTGAGCGGTTCCCGAGACTCATGTGCCTGTCATCTTGCAGCGAGAGAGAAGCAGGAAGTTGGACGTGATAAACTGCGTCAAGGGAGCCCAAAGGTGGACCCGCACGACGGGGGAGACCCGACCCTCCCCGGCGAACTGTGGAAGGTGATTGGAAGTGGATTCCGAAGCTGCTTTCTCTGCATAGACGAGGGTTGAGTCTCAGACTTTTCCTGGGAGTGGAGAGAGGTGCGTTAGGTAGACAGAGTGTGTTTTTCTTTATTTCTGCTTTATTTTCCCTTTACTCCAAGTACAGTCGCAGATCTGAAGTGTTATGTCTGTTAAATTGACTCTAGTTGTTTGCATTTGGTCACTCACTACTTAATTGAGTATAGGATGACCTCTCTGTATTGAGACCTTTTCTAGATAGGTTAGTTTGACTTCAAGAATGGCTTCAGTTTCACAGCACTTATGAAATTTAACTTGAGCTTATAGGTTCTGCTTCTTCATCTCACTGTCTTATCAAAGCAGGTCCGGACAGGAAAGCGCAGCCTTAGCAGTCTGATGGTAGAAGGCCGGGAAACTGTTTGATTTTGAAGTTCTGGAATATTACCCCCCAGTTGAAATTGAGATAGCAGTTGGTTAGGAACAGTGGCTTTTCTTTAAACTGGTCTCCTCCCATGGTTCACTGTCCAGAGAACCATTAGACCTTGGTTAAGGATCACGGGTGGGTGGCACGTGTGGTGTAAAGGGTTTGCTCTTTGGGTGGATCCCTACATTTTTTTGACTTACTTTGGATTTGGGGAGAGGAGAGGCGTTCTTGTAGCTGCTGGGAATGTGTAATGGAGAGGCTGCCAACGTTATTGTCTTTTTTTTCCTTTTTAAGTGGGTGCATCAGGACCTTTCCTGGTTATGGAGACATTTGCTCATGCGCACCTGGGTGCACCGGGAGCAGGCACATAGGAGGCCTGTTTGTTTGCTGGTAGATAAAAGAACCAGGGCAACAGTCCGGTGTTTTTTGTTTATTTTTGTGGTACGCGGGCCTCTCACTGTTGTGGCCTCTCCCGTTGAGGAGCACAGGCTCCAGACGTGCAGGCTCAGCGGCCACGGCTCACGGGCCCAGCCGCTCTGCGGCATGTGGGATCCTCCCGGACCGGGGCACGAACCCGCGTCCCCTGCATCGGCAGGCGGACTCCCAACCACTGCGCCACCAGGGAAGCCCCAGTCTGGTGTTTTTTACAGGTGCATTGCAGACATTCAAAAACAACTTTGTTTTTTTTTTTTAAAGCAAATTAAAATTTTTATATAAACCCTTTTGGCTTTTTCTGCTGTAATATTTTTGAAAGGCACGTGGACTTTGACAGTCTTTTAAGCGTTTGTTATAAGTGGTCGTAATTTAACACGTGTGCCGGGGACCCAGCACCTTCATGCGCGTTCCTTAATTTGATTCCCTGCAGCCTCATGATCTGGCTGGTTCTTTCCCAGAGAGGTGACGTCACGGACCTGGGAGAGCCCAGCTCGAAGCAGGCCAGCCGGGGTCTGACCCTGGGTCTTCTGTCCAGCCGATCAGAGCCCACCCTACATCCTTTCTCAGAACGAACTTTCTGGGTGTGGTGTCTCTTCTGCAGCGTGGTGCACGCTGCACGCACTAGCAGGGAGGTAACGGTCATAGTCTCCTTTTTATTGATATCATGTAAGTTTCTTCTCCTTGTTGCCTTGCAAAGGTCACAGTTCAAACATGGTTTCCGGGCAACTTTAAACTAAAACTCCTGTTGTCTAAACCCTCCAGTTGTGTATTTTAATATTAGCAAGATGTTGGTTAGTTAGGACAGGTGATTTCTGTCTTCTTTTCTCGTTTTGTTTTGAAGTCTTTTCGAAAAGACTTTGGTGGCCTTGCGCACAGTTTTTCGGTGGCACCGACACAGGGCTGTCTTTGCCTCAGACTTTCCCAGGGGTCATGAGTGTGGCACCGAATGTGCCCTGTTAGGGAAGGCACCGAACCCCTGACGTGGAGTCGTACCCCAGACCCCGCCAACTGAAAATCATCGGGCGTTTGCGGCGGCTGCAGTAACTTTTCCCTTGTGGCCTGTATGCAGCGTGGGGACATGGCCACTCCCCTTTCCTTCCCAGCCTCCATGTGATGCAGGAGTGGGGACCGTGACTGGCTCCAGCAGCTCGAGGGGGACGCTTGGCTCCCTTCGCTTTGCTAAGTGTCACTGCTTTGGTTACTATGACAGCACAACAAATTCACTCCAAAACTGGTGGCTTCCAACAGCAACGCTCATTTATTACTGCTCAGGGTCTCAGGGCCCGGAATTTGGAGGAGCTTGGCTGGCCGGGGGCTGGGGCTGAACGTCCCTTCGGGGGACAGCCTGGCTCCGGGGCTGGGAAGATGTGGGGAGCGGGGTGGCTGGCCTCTCCGTCACTGTGATCGCCCCGTGCGTGGTGCCTTCAGGGTGTGTCCCTAAAGGCACCAGGCCTCTGCAGCGCCCGGAGGTCACCTCGCCTCTGTCCGGTCGAGGGGCACCTCAGCTCCACCTTCTCCTGGGGGGCGCTGAGACCAGCACACAAATGGTGCTAGTTAATAACTCGTGTCCAGTCAGGTTCCAAGTTTTGTTCGAGTGTTCTTGGTGAGAAAATGAAAGAAAATCTCTGAGAAGCTGGAGGTGGTGCCGCTGTGCCGGCCTCGAGCTTGTGACTGCACGACGCGCCTGGAACTGGGGACACGCTGCTGGGTCTGTGGCGCCGGGGGCCCCGTGCTGTCTTTTCTGTGAAAACCCCGGAACCGATGCTTTTGGGTCTAAAGTGGCCTGGCTCTGGCCTCCCCGCGCTCTGGCACCACTGACTGAGCAGGTCCTGGAAACTTTTCTCCCCGTTTCGTGCGTCAGGAGCTGGCGGGGGAGCTGGAGCAGCCTGTCCAGAGCCCAGGCTCGGGCCCGGGGTCTGGGGTGCAGCCAGGGCTGGGTCCGGCTTGAGGGCCGGAGGGAGGCTGCATTTCCAGTGGCTCTGTCCCCCCGCCCCCAGCCCGGGCTGCTGCCGTCTGCAGCCTGCTGTCCACGCGGATCCACCTGTTCGGCGTGTCCTCACTGACCTCCCCGAGTGCCGGGTGGCCCTCGATGGAGATGCCGTGCAGGCCCCTCCCAGCGTGAAAGGGGAGCAGGGTGATGGGCACAGGGGACACCTCCGGCCTGATGCTGAGTCCAGCTGAGCAGAGTTGGCTGAGGGAACCGAGACACTATAGCAGGGACAGGACGAAGAAACTGTTAGGAGGAGAGCCCTGTGCTGGGTCAGAGCCTCATAGATGAGCACACACGGAGGCTCACGGCGCTCAGAGGCGCG